GAGGTACAAAGACAAGCCACATGAAGTCACATATATTAATATATAAACATCAAAGCAAACCATTTTAAATGACATAAATGTACATTTCCAAAACATCCATGTCTGTAAAATCATCAGTACATCAGAGAAACAAAGAAAAAAGACATTTATAAAGCAAAGTAGTGCTAACAGTCATACCTTCTTAGCGCTACAAAATGGCTTTTAGTAAATGCAAACTGCAGCAGTTAAAACATATCAGCAGTGGGTTCAGAAATCTAGTCTTTAGATATTTAGCCCATGTAGTCAAAGGCCACACATCAGACTTTTCAACTAACACCAAAACATGCACCTGTAATATTATGTACAAAACCAAAAGTAAGTTAAAAAGAGGCAAAAACAATTTACTCCAGTGACAATATACCAAACATCAGATTGTTTTAGATGTTTCAGATGTGTGAGTTTATTGCATGAATTTTAAGCATTTAAAATAAATAGCTGTGAAAGACGTTTGTTTTCCCTTTTACAAATGTGTGCCAAAGCTTCTTGCAATGTATCCCTATTAGCCTCTTTGTTATTTGCCCTAGTTAACTGTTCAAATACTGCACATTGGATCAAAGCCGCACTTCTCAGGCTGTGCTGTGACTGACATCATTGAGGCTAAGTTTCTGATTTTTCAACATGGTGTCACTGGTGAAGCGGGGGTGAAGGGGAATGGCGGTCATCGGCACTGTTTTGGCCTTTCGTCTGGATGAGCGACAACACAGCAGGTAGAAGATCTCAACCACGTTGAGCACAAGCGACAGGCAGGATGCTACCATCATGAACATGATGAAGATGGTCTTCTCAGTGGGTCGAGACATGTAGCACTCAACAGTGTAGGGACATGGGGCTCGGGAGCATTCAATTAGTGGGTCCATGACGAACCCATACAGATAATACTGCCCCACAATAAATGCTATCTCCAGGAGGATCCTGAACACTATGGAGACCATGTAGTTTCCCAGCAGATTACCTTTAATCTGCACCTTTCCTTTCTCGTTTGTATACTTTGGAGCTTTTGTTATTTCACTGCTAGAGTGGGTCTGTATATATTCTCTCAGCTTTTTCTCTTTGTGGATGACATGCATGACATGACCGAGGTAGATCAGTGTCGGTGTCGAGACGAAGATGATCTGCAGGACCCAGAATCGTATATGTGAGATTGGGAAGGCGTGGTCATAACACACGTTCTTGCAACCAGGCTGTTTGGTGTTACAAACCATCTTGGACTGTTCATCACCCCAAACCTGCAATGTTCAGATGACAGTGTTTATTATTATTATTAAAAAATAAATAAAAATAAATTAAGGTATTACATTTAGTCACACAGCAGCACAAATCCTATACACTGAAGTGCAAAATCAATGTCCTAACATATAGTAAGCAAGCTGATTTAACTTAACTTTCATACTAGTTTTATAAATGAACTCGTTTTACAGAGTTATCTGTGCTTTTTTAATTGAATAACTGGTACACTTGATTTGCCTGAGTATGAACAGTGCAGACTGGTAGATGCAAAGAGTCACAGACCTGGTACAACTTAGGTTAAAATAATTGATTTGGAAATTTTCTTAGCTTAACCAAATTTTCTAAGTGCATTTAACTTGTTCAGTATGCATATGTACATATAAAGACTATAATATATTTAACAATTATGAAGTTAATTTGAAAAATTCTCATCTTAACTATTGAAATAATCAAATTATTGTAGACCACTGCCTTGCGTTTACACTTTTAAGACAACAAACCAAAAATATATTGTATATTTTACATATTTTGTAAAGTGTTACTCTGTACAATGACCAGGCTATAAAATAGAATTAGGCTATATATCTATAGTAAGATCAACTTTAATAATAAAACTTCAATGTACCAAACCAGTGTTTTTTCACTGTCAGTGCAACCTAGCAAATTTATATTGAGAAACACGTGTAATTCTCATATCCACTGTAATCCACTGTTTGTGAAGAAAATTTACTCTATCAAAGCATTATTTGAATTTTAGTTTCAACACTGTTTTTATGTGGACTTTTGTTATACCCACCAGAGGGCGTTTTTTTGTTTTGTTTGTTTGTTTGTTTTTAATCTGAAAGGCCAAAACTCACAAAAGTACCTAAGGCATGTGAGTTATGTATAATTCTTTCCCTCAAAAGATGAAAAAGTAGAAGCGGACCTTCTCTGCTCCAGCTCCAAGGATCATGATCCTGAAGATGAAAAGCACGCTGAGCCAGACCTTCCCGATGACCGTGGAGTGGGACTGGACCTTATTCAGCAGCGAAGACAGAAATCCCCACTCACCCATGGTTTCTGAAAACAAATAAAGATCCTTAATGACTGATAAGATGTGAATAAATTCAAAGTTTCATCAAATCTAGCCTTCGGCAGATCATTTAGAAAATAAATGTTTTGCTGAGGAGATCATAGTTTGTTTATTTAGCTGTTGCATATGCAGTACACTGTATTCAAATTATATCTAACTGAGACAAAACCCTGAATTAAACTTAAATTTTAGAGTCAAATGACTAAACTGGCCTCAAATTTTGAGTCTTTCAAACTTATAGATTGAAGTATTTTATTATTTAAATTATTAACTTGTAGTTTGTTATAATCAATCAGTGGAAATTGTTAAACATCACCAGAAGCAGCAGAAAGTCTGCCCTGCTTCTAAGACAATCACATGTACTACTATCCCCAGTGACTGTTTAGAGGTTAAAGTAGGAGCTGTGGAATAAATATATTTGATTGGATTTTAAACAAGAATGTACAAGCAACGGATGTTTGTATATGGCTTTCACTATATTTTTATCATATGAAAGAAAAGCCCTTTAGTGCATTAACAGCATAATAACTGCATATCACTGATTTATCCAATCTGAGAAAATACAGAAAAATGTAGTTAATCAGATGTTTACTGTCACAGATTATGTATAGTGTGTCATTTTGTCTCACTAACATACACTCCCTAATAATAATCAGTGCTCATCAGTCAACACATGACAAGATGCTTCTTAAGATACCTTAATAATGAGAACATGACATTATTTGAATCTTATTCCAATATATTAATTAAAAGTTTACCCCGTTTACAGTTTATAATTAAAAATAAATGCCTTGTAAATGAGGAGGATTTTTAAATAGGTCATTCTGTAGCTTACCTTTGAGTGTAACAGCTCTTCTTGCAGGCAAGCGAATCAGTCACCAGTTGTAGAGCTGAATGGCAGCGAGCGTACCAAACCAGACTTGTCTATGATACCTTGAACTTTAGATTAGATGGAGTTGTGCAAGCGTGTGAGCTGTCACGTTGTCATGACATCTGGAAATGAGAAATCTCATGTAGACAAAATTGGGCTGAACATGGAAAATGTTAATGATTGCCAAACTTTTAACCGCTTGTACTTGATTTTTTCCCCTCTGTATTGGTTTCATAAGATGATACAGTAGTAGTTATCACTGTATGATAAGCTTCTTTAACATTTTGAATTCAACAATATTTGTCAGTTATGCATTTTTAGTCAAACAGTAACAGAGTCAACAACTAAACGGCGCAAACAGATTACAATGAACATGAACGCTGCTGCATTTTGTGAGGACTCATGTTCGTTTTGTCATTAAAAAAATGCTGAAAGTCCGAACAAACTGAGTAAGTTTAGTATTATAAGCTTCACAAAGACTGAGATATTGAACTGAAATATGCTGAGCTGATATATTTGATCTATAATGTTCCACTTTCTTTCTTTTTTTTCTTTATGTTTTTTTTTATGAAGATATTGTCATTGTCTTTAGATAAACTTTGAAAGTATAGCGCGATCGATTACCAATCAACCTAACAGCCGCACCCCATTCTGAAGAAATACTAGATTATAGATGGAAAAATTAGTCAGTCGCCACATGATTCATTTGTAACAACCTTGTATTAAACAATTATTTACATAAGTTTAGCAAAATGTAAAATTATTGCATTTCAAAATATGTTAAACAAAACTATCAGCTATTATCATTATTATCAGCTCTGGGAGGCTTTGACTGTTGTTATTTGCCAGTTTCTACACACTGTCACTTCAACTAATGCCACTTAAATAGTTTAATAGTTTAATTATTTATATAGCACATTTAATTACAACAGGAGCATTGACCAAAGTGCTGTACAAGAATACAACATACATAATAAAACAACTTAGAGTATTAAAAGCAAACACCAAATATGAATTAACAAATAACTCTCATGCTGTATTAAAAGCCAGTAAATAAAAATGCGTTTTAAGATACGATTTAAAAAGATTGACAGTATGAGCCTGTCTGATGTGTAGGGGTAAATTATTCCACAGCTTAGGCGCTACGACTGCAAATGCTCGATCACCTCTATGAACCAGCCTCGACCATGGTACAGCTAAAAGCAAAAGATCACTTGATCAAAGATATCTAAGGGGGTATAAGTCTGCAAGAGGTCAATGGGCATTGCACTAGTTTTGCACAAACTGTATATAGTACTTGTCTTAAATTCTCTAAATATTGAATACTTTTTTCTCTTTTTTCCTCTTTATCATAATTATTACCGCTATTTTCTGTTATTTTCTTCTTAATTTAACTGCACACTTCTATATGCTCATGTAAAGCTGAGGAGCACGAGCCAAAGAACTTCATTATGGGTAAATGTGGCTACACTGTTGATCTGTACATGACAATAAAACTTGAAACTAGAAAAACCTAAAAAACTAATGAAGAATGAAAGTAATTATTAGTTGTAGATATGAAGTCACACAAAATGTGTGTAAATCATGGTTTTTCAAAATAAGGGCTTATGAACTGAAAAGTGTGAACATCTAAAGACAAGAGATTGATAGAAGCAACGTTTCTTCAAGTTCAAGTCATTTATTTCAAACAAATAAGTGTACAAAAAAAGCTGCTTACACATAACAAACAACATCATTTTTATCTTTCAGTAGGTAAATCAACTCATAGAAAATGAACAAGACAATACCGTAACTTAAAGAACATGACCGGGCATACAGACAGTTTTTCTCATTAAACTGTTACAATTTTTTTCATGTTGTCAGCAGAATACTGATGGCAGGATTACTAGTAGTTTACTGTTTATTTGACAGTTTTCCTGCTATAATCTACTTTACAGTAAGTTGCTGTATTTGATGATTTGCAGTATAGAACTGGCAGCTAAAGTTTGCTCGTATAATATAAATATGTTAGTATTGCACCTTTTAGTAATAGATTTTCAGGCATATACAAAGGAATGGAAGCAAATGCTAGAAGAATATATAAGTAAAAATACAACAATGTATTATGTGAAGACTTTTCTAAGCACATACTAACATATTAATGCAAAATGACAAAGCTTTTCTATTGTCTTTCAGTCCCTTGGATGTATCTGAATGCAGACACCGAGCAAGATAATACATTTTAATTGTCACAGACGTGGTTTTTAATGACCGCTCAGGAGTCGTTTCTCATCCTTTGCCCCATCCAAGCTCCCTGCAACACTGTGGCTGGCTTCAAGATCTGCATTCATCCTGTTCTGCTTGAGGGCTTCCTCTGCAGTTGGCCACCTTGGACCTGAGAGGCTAGCAGGATATTCTGGAGAGGTAAACTTATGAGGGCGACGTCTACACCTGACCCTTTTGCAAATCAGGTAGAACATCTCAATGATGTTCAGAAACAGAGAAACACAGGCCACCACCAGCATGAAAATAATGAAGACGGTTTTCTCTGTGGGTCGAGACATGTAGCACTCAACAGTGAAGGGGCAGGGCTTTCTAGAACAGGGGAACATGGGGACCATGACGAAGCCGTACAAATAGTATTGTCCCACAATGAAGCCGGCCTCAATAACTATCTTGACCGCAAGCTGGGTCAGATAGCTCCCCAGTAGATTCCCCTTGATTTGCACCTTCCCCCTTTCATCTGTGTATTTGGGCCTTTTGCACTGGGTGCCACCAGGGCTGGAGAGCAGCTCCCTCAGCTTGTTCTCCTTGTGGATGATGTGCATGGCGTGGCCCAGATAGATGAGTGTTGGCGTGGAGACAAAGATGATTTGGAGCACCCAGAAACGAATGTGCGAGATGGGGAAAGTATGGTCGTAGCACACATTCTCACAACCAGGTTGCTGAGTGTTGCAGACGAAATCTGACTGCTCATCACCCCAGACGCTTTCAGCACCTGCACCCAAAACCATGATTCTGAACAGGAAGAGGACGCTCATCCAGATCTTGCCAATCACAGTGGAGTGTGACTGGACTTTTTCCAGCAAGGTTGACAGAAACCCCCAGTCTCCCATCTTTAATGACAGTGTTTAGCCTCTATTTCTGAAAAAAGAAGGCAAACGTTGTAAAGACATAACACCACACCTTATTTCTGAAACATTAACTACAACTTATTCTTTAATCAATAAACTCCTGGTGAATGAAAAGAGCTTACAGCTCTTTAGATAGATCATTTTATCTCCTAAAACCTGAGAAGGAAGAAGAAATTACAGTATTCTGACCCTTGAGCTTTTGGATCAATATTTTCCACACATAATCATTAATCATTAGAAAACGGAAGAACAAGAGACACAGTGTCATCAGACAAATGAGTAAAAGTGGAAAAAAAAAACCTTTAAAAAATGTTTCTTTTAAAATAAGTACATGCAAATTTTTATGCATACAGAAAATTAAGCCATAATATGATTAAAACTATACCATAAATAAAATTAACAAAGAAATCTGATGCTGTTAATGTAATCAAAAAATAGTAATTATAACTGAAAAGTAAATTAACAACCAGCCATGTACTTACGATAAAGTAAGAAATGAATCTTTAGTGTGAAAAATTCCAATATAATAACAATTTTCTCTAATTGATAAAATGATCGGTTATCTAAAGCAGAGGAGAGAAACCGTTACATCTTACCTGTTGATCTGCTCAGAGAGGACTGAGTCTCGTTGAGAAAGATCACCAACTATAGTTGGACCTTGGATTTCTGGGCTCTGATCAGCGGCTGAGTTACGCAACACACATCTGTGAGCTAACAAGAGCAGGAAAAGTTTAAGAAACACCAGACCAAGAGGGCAGCGGGTGTAATAATTGACAAGTGTTCAGTTCAGTTGTGTCAGTGAACCGCCATTAAAGTTTGAAAATAAATAAAATAGGAATATGTGTGTGTGTGTGTGTGTGTGTGTGTTTTCATGTATTTACATTTTTTGTGTGTGTTATATACAAATAAGGAAGAGGAGGAGTAGCATGATGAGTAACTGTATTAGTCTGAATTGGGAGGTTAGTTTGAAATTTGCACTCTATGTGAAACCATTAATCATGAATGTGTCAGAAGAGAAGAAGGTCTTGTGTCAGCTGCACAGTCGGCGAGCAAGAGATGTCACTTTAAAATAGCACTGGAAGTTGAAAATAAGGTGCATGTGTTCAAAATATATGTATTTATCAATTTCATTTATTTGTGTATTTCACACACAAATGAGAACTATGCACATGGATGATGAAGTACTGTGTAATTCCCAGTTGGGAGGCTAGATTGGAATTCGCGCACCTTGCTAAAACATTTGTTGATTTAGTCAACAAATGTTTTAGTCATGAGATTGTAGATAAGGTTCAAGTAGATGAACTGGTAAGTTTTGTGACTCACAGTAACATTCATAACCAGCTGTTTCCTGCCAGAATCATCAAAACATCACGCCCTGCAACCAGGAAATTATTCATAATCTGTGGGATTAGAAAAACCGTTTACTGTCACTTTTCTTATGCAGGTCAAAAGCTAAGCTAAAGCTAAGTGGTAGTAAATTAAGTTTTGTTAAGTTTAGGCAGAGATAGTTTAGCTCTAATCTTTTTTCTGTTTCTTATTGTACATTTTTCTGATGCTATTAGCAACAAATGTGGCTGCTGTGGCTCAGGCAGTAAAGGAAACTGCCTATTAATCGCAGAGCTGATGGTTCAGATGTGCAAATAAAGACACTGAACTAACTACCAAATACAAAAGAAATTGTCCGTTACATTTTAAAGAATAAATTGCATATATTTTTTCATTAGATTCAATAAACACTAAGTTTTCAAAAAAATTGAATTTTCCGGCTTTACAGGGTTAATATATTTTAGGTCATTATCCAGATCCAGATTTCATCAGTTTTGTAAGCATTACACAACTGCTACTCCATATACACACTTATACATTAATGGTCCAGTTTTAATTTTTAAAAAATTAACTAAAAAAAAAAAAAAACAACAAAAAAGCAAATGTTAATATTGTGTTTGTGTATCTTTGTAAGAACTGGCAACCTCTCCAGAGTGCAACACCACCTCTTATCTCATGACAGTGTGTATGAACGCCAGCTACCCATGATGCTAAGATAGATAAGGGATTGAGAAAATTGATGAATTGAGGTTTTGTTCATTTTAAATTGAGGAAATTATTGTATGGGACATTGCACATAAAAATTATTTGAACATTTATTATGTATGTTCCATTACTTTTACATACAGGGTGGTTCATAGCATAAGAACAGGACAGTTACATTTCAGTCACATCTGGGTCTTTATTGAAGGTTTATTGAATCAGCATTAAACATTATTAAATGTATCAAAAGTGGAAAGCAGTTCACTACAATCATGTAATGTATTAACAGTAAACTCCAGTTGTCTATTGTGGAAAAAATTTAATTTTCTGCAGCCCTTTGCATGTGACTGAGTCTTGTTTGCAGAAGCTGGCCATTTCCCTCCCACCTGCTCTATTTAGTGCACACACAAACACACGTCTCCAAAGCCTCCAGAGCATACAAATAATGCCAGGAACCGCATATACAACCTATTGCTGGGCTTATACATCAGATGTGGATCTCCCCCATGTTGTTGTTCTCAGGTGATCCATTTCTAGGAGCCTCACTGACTCCACTCGTGATGCCGTTCACCCCTAACTTTCGTCCTTGCAGCTCCAGCTCCAGGTTGACATAATTCTGAATCATCTCGTCCCGGTTTTTAAAAGCCTTCCTTTCTGAGGGTGGAGGAGTCACTGGGGTCACAGTGTAGTCCTGTCTCCTCGCCATGCATTCCTTCACCGCTTTCACACACAGATAGAACAGCTCCACCAGGCTGAGGGCGAGGGAGACACAAGCCGCCACCAGCATGAACCAGATGATGACCGACTTCTCTGTGGGCCTGGACAGGAAACAGTCCACTTTGTGCGGGCAGGGGAAGCGGGTGCAGACATAGCGTGTCTGTAGGGAGAAACCATAGAGAAGGTACTGACCCACGATAAACAGAACCTCGAGGGCAATCTTGGCCAGGAGATGGAGGACGTAACTGCGCAGGAGGCGGCCACGGATGCTGATCTTGCCGCTGTTTTTGGTGTACTTGGGAACTTTATAGGCCCTCCTAAGGAGCAGATTGGTTTGGTCATCCAGCTCTTCCTGCTTCTTCATCCTTTCCTTCATCTTGGATTAGAAAAGCAAGAACACAGAGTTAGACATTTTCCAGGAAACAGATAAACCTTAATTCTGGCAGTGTGAACAAACTCTCACAGTTCCAAAATGTTCTGCCAAAATATGGCTGAACAGTTACTCCAAACTGCCACACTGTTCCAAGCTGTGTTTTCATTAACATTTTGGCTAAATGTATGAGCACAATATAAAATATCAGAGCAATGTTAGCATATGGTGGAACAGCTAATAATGTGCGTTGGAGAAGCACTGAGAAGCTTTTTTGTTTCTTTAAACTAGCACTAGAGATTTGTCCTGCTAAGAAAACTCCTTCTTAAGCCATCAAGAAATGGTTTGACTATCAATCCATTGTCTTCCGCTTCCAATTCAGGGTTGCGGGGGTGGGGGCCTGGACATGCCCCAGGTGTCCACCCGGGACAGGTCGCCAGGCTAACATATAGAGAAGCTATTCACATCTATAGGCAATTTGGAATCATCAATTAACCTAACCCCACTAAATACATGTCTTTGGACTGTGGGAGGAGCCAGAACTCATGCAAAAACAGGGAGAAAATGCAAACTCACACGGCACAGGCCTGGCCTGATGCTGGAACTGAACTCGGCACCTTTGTGCTTTCAGGCAACACTGCGCCATCATGCTGCCCCATCCAGAGTGCACCCCACCTCTCATCCTAAGGTAGCTGGGATAGACTCTAGCACTGCCACCCAGTCCCATGAATGTTTGGCCACCAAGGTGAAGAAAACATGAAATCAAATGTTGTGTTTACACTGGATCATTTCCAGCAGTGCTTGTAATATAAGCCGTTTGCAGGTTCCTTCTTTCAGCCAAAACAAAAGCTTTGGAGACTTGAGTCTACTAGCTGCACATTACCAGCAAATGTTACATTGTAAGTTTGGTTTATGTTTGACTTGGTTAGCCTGCAAAAGTGTCCAGGTCTTTATTAGCAAGTTATTTACTCTAATGGAAACCGGAAATATGGACAAAAGCACTGGACCACACCTCTTAATGTTTGAATTTTCACTCCAATTGCCACAGGTGTATAAATTCAACCACCCAGCCGTGTAGTCTGCCTTTACAAACCTTTGTCATTCTAAAGAGATCACTGAATTCAAGTGTAACTGTAACAGTATACTACTGTTGCAACAAGCCAGTTGGTGAAACGTCTTCCCTTTCCGTATTCTTGCGAAATAGAAACAGACTCAACAATAAGTCACCAACACTCTCACTTACTCGATAACTACAGAGCTTCAAACCTGGAGCTGTTCAAACCTCTGGCATTAATATTGCAAAAACTGTGTGCCAGGAGCTTCATGGCATGGAGCAGCTCCTGTAGTCAAAATGTGTTGATGTCCCAGGGCTTTATTCCAAATATTGTTGCCATGTTAAAGCACACATAAATAGACATACTCATAAGGTGGAAAGAATAAAAGCTGTTATGTCTGGGGTGAAAAATAATGACGCAGTCTTAAGCTTCCTCTTTAAGTGATAGACATTAATGCTAACGATGGCGCAAATTAACTTCCCATAAAGGGTGCTAAAAGGATCTTCTCTTCCATGCAATTGCCACTCCCTTATAGGTGTGGCATGCATGACAAAAAGCAGTGATACAATTGTACTGCACGTACTGCAGCGACACACCTTCTTTTCAACGTGGATAACATGAAGGACGTGACCGAGATATAACAGCTTTGGAGTCGCTATTGCAATAATCTGAAGAAACCAAAAGCGCACGTGAGAGATGGGGAAGGCCAGGTCATAGCAAACGTTCTCACAGCCGGGTTGCTGAGTGTTGCACACAAAGTCAGACTGTTCGTCTCCCCAAACCTGAATGAGATCAGAGGAAAATTAAAAATATTATTTAAAAAAAAAACACCATAAAGCTATAATCCTGGTTTTCTCTCAGATATGTCCTATAAAAACAGCCTCAAACCTTCTCAGCACCAGTTTGCAGGACCATGATGCGGAAGATAAAGAGCACCGTGAGCCACACTTTGCCGATCACGGTGGAGTGGCTCTGCACTTTATCCAGCAAGTGGCCCAGTAGATCCCATTCACCCATTTCAATCACCAGCTGTCCTGCTTCTGTTAAAGAAGGTACAGATGAAATAAACACGGAGGCAGATAGACACAGCAGTCGAAGGCTGTCATTTCTGAAGGGATGCGTGGGTGATCTCAGATGTGTATATATTATTACAGAGAGTATTTTGTAACCTGACTTGCAGTTCAGGTCAGAACAGACAGCCTCACTCACAAGGCCAACTTTTTATCACTTCTTGCAGCCTTGTGACTGTGCAGATAGAGGCCACGGCTGCTGATTTCAAGTCTCCAAAACATACTTATCTGCTGGACACTGAAACCTTAGCCTTGGTTACCGCCAACCGCCGCCAAGCATAATTCAAAGAATTCCAGAAACTGAGCTTAAACTGTTCATAAAGAAAGTTTTTGCAGAGTTCATTTTAGATGATGATTTTAAAGCTGATATTGTTTCACGCAATATTCGGTGACGCTTCTGTGGCTTTTCTGGCCCACATTGCATTATCTTTGGATTTTAAATTACTCTAAATACATGATTTTTTGCAGCTGGCTTGTTTTGCCTTTGCCAGCTCTGATCCACATTTGCATGCTTACACTCAGTGTCTCATAACAACAACCATTAAATAAAATTCAATGATGAAACGCAGTTATCCTTGCAAATAAAACCCAAGTCATAACAGAGACATACTCCAACATCAGTCCATTAACTATTATTTTTCTACAACATGTGCATCATTATCACTGATTTTCTTTCTTTCTTGAATGGTGAAATCAGAGATAGACTGCATCTGTATATAAAAATCAACTTACCAGCTGACCAAACTGAAAAATTGAGAAGAAAAGGTGGCTGAAGAGAGCAGTACCTCAAGAAGATGAGGAGAAGAGAAAGTGAAGAAGAAGCTGTCCTTGTTTTATTGTTCATTCAGCGACTTATCTGGAAGGACACCATCCTAACCACAACAGCAACTCCTTGTCTTAACAACAATTCAGACGTTCTGCTGAAGTGTAACCAGTCATTGGTTTATAATATAATTTCATTTTTGTTGCATTTCAGCTTTGTTGGACAGTGAAAAGAGAACGTGATCGTCTGCTGTACGTTTTCTAATTCTTTTTAATATTGGGAAATAAAGGAAGATTCAGGAGATGAACTAATGCAGAAGCTCGTAAGCATGACTGACACTTCAGGAAAACGGGGTGAATAATGCGGTTAGCTGAAAACCAAAATTAAGAATTGAATCATATGTAAAAGTCCCTTAAATGAATCTTTCAGAGCTTCCTACGCTTTTTCTTACACAAGTGAAACATTTTCTCAAAATCAACAGTGTTTAAATTTTTGTTAGCTTTCCTGTCAGTATTTCACTAATGTCCATAATCCATGTGGTCTTTTTCAAATTATTGCCCCAACTGTGAAAAATTGCACACGAGAAACTGGAAAAAAACTCGATAACCTCTCTGAAGGAATGACCTTTTACCTAGACTTAGCTGTGTGAGTTTTTTTTGCTGTTGCTTATAGTATTTTTGCTTAAGCAAATGTTCATCTTTTCACCAGCACAGTATTCAGACTCTGGCGTCATATTTAAATCCTACCAAAGAAGGGTTTGCACAGCACCGTGTCTGTTTACTACAAACCACCACACTGCGGGTTCATGAGGTTTACAAGTTTCCTCTAAGGTTTACTCTGACCCAGGTCATCTGTGGGGGTTACAGACTGAACTCTGGAAGCCTGCGTCGTCTCTGCTCTGTAAATAATTTACTCCGTACTTACACTTTAAAGAGAAAAACAAAGCCTGGCCTTCACCTTATTGATCAGTCATTGTATCAGAGAAGACAAACATGCACAAGTAAGGCAGAGGGCTCAGGTTTTATAAAAATATGGTTCAACATAAAAGACAAAAGTTACAGTACACATATGAAAACAATGTCACAAGTGATGTTGGAATGGAGGAGTTTTATTGGTCTGATTATGTGCTACAATAACACACGGATTTCACATTCCAGCAATCAATTAACATAATTAATCTCAATGTGTGTGTCAAAGATCACACAAATGATTAACTAAAGCAGACCTATTATATTTTTCCACATTCATTTTCTCATATATGTGCTGTAACAGTTTAGGTTATTCATTCTAACCCACCTGCTGTTCAAATCTTGTGTTTGTGAGGGACAGCCAGTTAGTTGGCTTGAAATGAGGAGTTAAAAGTGGTCGAATCAGTAACGAGATGGAAATTAGCATAACAGGTCCACTTTAAGCAAAATGCTCTCATATCAAATGTCTTAAATATTGTTTCTTAATAAAATAAAATACCATAAACTTCAGTACACCTTTAAATTGGAGATGCTTGAATATCACACTTCATTCACTCGTCACACACTTATCTGTATGTAAACACTTATATATATATATTTTGCAACAGATAAACACCACACTGTATTGTAGAAAGCTTGACATTTAAACTCTTTGTTTGATTAGACCAGCAAATCAAAGAAGCCGAGGATACAATCTAAGCAAGAACGAGTTGAAATATAAACTATTTTTTTTACTTTCAACAAACATGTTGATGAAAAGGCTATCACATATTATTAGCCTGTTATTTTTGTTTTTGGCTCTGTGTATGTGTCAGATGCGCGTGGTCAGAGCAAAACGTTTTTGGTTAGAATGAAGTCACATGGGATGTAGATTAATAGCAGATAAAAGCAAACCTTATCACAGTGCAAGTCAAAATACTTTCTTAAATGTATTCTTAAATCTAAATCAAGCCTAACTCCTTAAATTTAGACTTGTGTAATTAGTGAATTTGTTTATACTCGTTTCACTTCGGCTGTGTTTGTATTATATTGCTCTTATTTGTCTCACATTTAAGGTGAGGATTTTGATATTGTCTGCACTTATACACAATGTTCTCTTCCACTGAAGTGTTTTTGAAGATACACAGGAGGTAAAATGAGTTTCACTCGTATAAAATGGTTTTTGTGCACAAGACCAAACAAAGTCTTATTGTTAGGCTCCAATAATAATTGACAAGCTTGTAAATCCAACCCAAACACAGGTCTGGAAATAATTAAGGTTGTCTGGCTTCAAAGTAAACGCTGGATGTCACAGATTCATCAGACCATAATCTAGTAATGCAGGAGCAATGTTGAAAAAATGTTTGTACTTTTACTCATCATTTTAGATGAATTCCACTGCAGGTTCTTTATTAACTAATACCCAATCAATAGAAAGAAAACGGTAGTGTCAGCCTCATCAGAGCATCAAAGTTCAACAGATTTAATAGCAGAAGAAGCTGGAATGCAACAAGATTCGTGTAACAACAAGACCCAGTGCGTCAGATTAAGCTCTTAGCTTGAGCTAATGAGCACTCGTGATCCGAGAACCCAGATCCACTCTGGAATGCATCTCATCAATCCGTACTGCAAAGGCAAAAAGAGAAGAGAACAGGATATGGAAAAAGTATTTAATGTTTTCAATTCTGGTTTCACAAAAGCTTTAACAGTATCAGAGATCATCTCACTCAGAGTAATATACTTCACATTTTTTACATTTTCTGTAATGCTGTCAAAATAAAAACTGATGACATGACTTCATTTCAACTGACCTGCAGGGTATGAGGCCAATATCCTGTGGTCCTGTTTGAGACTCCCAGAGTGGAGATGGCATGGCGAGCATAAACTTCTGGCTTTGGTACAAACCAGCCTTCTCTTCGTGATGGTGATGAAGATGATGATGATGGCTGCTGGTCACTTGAGGCTATCTAAATGAACATGGACAAAGATGAAGTTAAGCAGCTTGATTTCATCGATCTCCCTAGTTTGATAGCCAATTTCATACATGATGTGCAAACACGACAAGCCACAAATTAGCATCTATCAGAGTAATAGCAGTGGGGATCGTGGATCCAGCCAGACTTTTGCTGCCAGATTTCAGGTCTTACAGAACAGCTACTGTTAAGATATTTACCTGGAAGGGGAGCAGACTCTGAATGAATATGCCTTTGCTGCTGTACTCAAGGTGAAGAGCTCTTGACAAATGATCCAGGTATCCCTGAAATGTCAGAGGAAAGGTTGCTGTTGTCAGGAAAAAATAATGTTGTTGTGACTGGGACTATAGCCAGCACACAGAAGAAATGGAGATGACAGTTCAAAAACCTACATAATTTACTTTAAAGAGCGGCTTACTCTGCTGATTCTCAAACCTTTTTCTGGCTGACACTACTTTACATACTAAAAAAAAAGTTACATATTTAATCAATCATTAACAAACAATCATGGTTCAAAAGTGAAAACAGAAGACTAAAACTTATTTTGCATAAATCCTGTTTGTTCAGCTTAGTTTTACAACATATTTTCCACCAGCAGTGGATCTACTTGCCACAAATCAAGAGCTAATACTTTAAGGAGATAGTAGTAACAACAGATCTTCAAATTGATCAGAGACATCAATGTGCTCTTCATCATATTACAAAAGATCTATACAGGCTATAGATATGTTTTACTGGCACGTCTCCATGCCTGCAGACTGTAACAGTGATTTGTCTCACAGTGGAGGCGGTGAGCGTCACTCTTCCAAGAAGAGGTCTGCAGCAGGCACCCGATGATATATTGACCACGGCACCTCTGCTGCGATCCACCATCCCCGGCAGAACCAATCGGGTCATCAGAGTAGTGACTGCAATGTTCCTGTTCACCAAATCCAAGAGGTGCTGTTCGGGCACTTCAATCAGGCTCTGGGGTGAAGCCAAAGATTCCTCGACACAGTTTACCAGGAAGCCAATATCTTTACCCCTCAATGCTTCTTTGATGGGCTTGCAGGCCACTTGGTCCAGGGAGAAGTCAGCTGAGACCACAAGAGTTTCCACTCCATAATTCTGGGAGAGGTATGCACTCATGTCTCTAACAGAGGAGGGGTCCCGAGTGACAAAGATGATGCTGATGGCATGCCTGGCCAGCTCCTCTGTGTATGCTTTGGCTACAGGCTCCGATGCACCTGACAAGAGAGATGACAAAGTCATGCCAGAGAGAACAAAAAAGTTTGCAGCAACATTATAGACATTGAACCAGTTACAGTGCTGTGAAAAAGGATTTGTCCCCTTCCTGATTACTAAGCTTTTTGCATATGTTGTCACATTTAAATGTTTCATCATCATACAAATTTTAATATTAGAGAAAGATAACCAAAGTAAATTTAAAATGCAGCCTTTAAAAGATGATTTAGGACATTCTGCTTACTCTATTATGTTCTCTACCAGAAAATCTTGATGTAAAATATCTGGTCATCAGTTCGTACCCTGAAGCTCAAGCACACTTGGGTTATACAGCAGAACAATGATCCAAAACACCAGCAAGTCCACCCCATAAAGGTTTTGAAAGGGCCTAGTCAAAGTCCGGATTTAAATGCTTTGGCGTGACCTTAAACAGGCCGCTCATGCTGGAAAACTCTCCACTGTGGCTGAATTCATACAATTCTGCAACGAAGAGTGACCCAAAATTCCTCCAAAGTGCATGTGAAAGACTCATTGCCAGTTATCACTGGTAGATGGTACTTCTTGCTGTTAAGGGGGGCACAACCAGTTATTGGGTTTAAGGGCCAATTTTCTTTTTCACAAAACGCAAGGTAGGTTTGGATAGCTTGTCTCCCATTCATACATGCAACCATGATTTAAAAACTGCATTCTGTATATACTCCCGTTGACTTTGGCTATTGTTAATGAAATAGATTCATGAAATATAGTTTACTTCAATTATGATATAACAGAAATTAACTCTGCTGCGGCCCATCCTTACCATAAACGACAGCCCAGTCACCATATCTCTGGGTCAGCTTCTTACTTGGGATCAATCTGGGCAGAAAATGCACCCTAACCAACGTGCAGCAGTCGCTCAGCAGGATCACTGCCCTGCTGGCCGTGTACAGAGCACCGACCAGCGCCAGGGTTTCAAAGTAAGAGTTGCACGTACGAGAAATTTCTCTGTACAAAAACTGAAAGCTGTCAACCGCCGCCATATCCCACGCTGGAGTTGATGATATAATTTGCTAACTAAAGCTTATTCGGTGATATAACGCTGGGACCTGTACGTGAATAGGTTAACGAATACTTCAGACGTGTAAATGGAAGCTACAACTAACCCCACATAGTAAAATTACTAATAAAAGCTGTAAGAATTCTCGTTTAAGAAGCAGGTATGTCTCCTCTGCTACACCCGGTGAAAGCAGCAAAACATTGGGTCACGTGACAGTGTAGAACAGCAGTGCTGCATTCAAAACCGTAACAAAAAATCCGTCTAAATACTTTTACCTCATGTTGAATGATTTTTAAATATATTCAATAAGGTTGAAATATTCTTTAATTATCACATGACAAACAATAAAAGCAAGTATAAACTCTAAAATTAATCCAAAGACATCCTAAATATCCAGATTTTTATTAGGAAAGCCAAATTCCGATTATCGTGGAGATACCATATGGGGGTCTCCCACAATGCACCACAGTTAACACTGGACGTTTCCATAGAGATACAGTTGTGGATGGCAAAGCGCTAGCTCGATGAAGGTCTTTTATATGCACAAAGACAAGGTGACTGATTTAAAAAGCTCTGTGCGTGATGGTTTCCGTTTGCCTTCGTTGCTTTTTAGTCCAGCTTCCGTTTTAGTTTAATTTTGGCACTTTTGTTTTTCAGCTAGCAGTGTTTCAATAATGGCAGCGTCAAGCTAACAAGAGAAGGGACACATTCATTGTTGTTAGCAGCAGAATTAAGCCTTTAGATTGCAGGACAAAATCAAACTGATTGTACCATTATTTTACATTTAATCACACATTTCCGTGGTGTATACTGTCATCATTGCTGTGATCGCCTGTTTTTCCAGATAGGTAGCCAATTTTCAAACCTGTTGGTGATGAAATTTTTTCCTCTTCACTAAATGAAACCGAGAAGGGGAAAATGATAAAGGATGTACGTTTTAGTAACGTGCTGGAGGTAGAAATATACACATGAGCACGTTTTGGTTCGTCTGTTGTTAAGTAACTTAATCTGTTATCTTACAGAGTATTAGTTTATATAGTTTCCTGTTATTTTTCGCCATTGGATGAGCAAATGTGTATTTTATGCTTTACTGAATGGAAAGAAAAATGCCTCCTTTAGTCTCTTAGAAATCCCTCTGAATTAAAACCTTTTGTTTTTGACACAGCAGTAGCAGAGATGTCTGAGTTTGCGGAGGATGAGGTGGAGTTACAGTCCTTGGTTAAGCAGTTTCTGAGAAGCATCAGTGACAAGATCTCTAGTGCTCCTTCACCTGAATGTGCTGAAGAGATCCTCCTTCACCTAGAGGAGACTGACAAGAACTTTCACAAGTGAGTCCATCATCAAACACCATAGCATTAAATGTAATGACTGGATCTAATAAAATGGGCTTTGTTATGTTTCTATGGGCATGTGTTCTTTGTGTTGTTTTTAGTATATATTTACAGTATAGGTGTGACTTGGTTACTTCTCTTCTTTCAGTTATGAGTTTGTGAAGTACCTCCGTCAATATGTGGAGAATGCTTTAGGATCTGTGGTTGAAGAGGAAACAAACAACTTGACCAGAGAAGATGGACAACATGCAATTGGCTCGGGACACGACACTCTGATTCACGCAGTGACACAAAGGACTAGATACTCAGCTGAGTGAGTGTCTCTGAATATCTTTAGCATCTTTTTCTATTGGCCCATATTCATCATGTTTATTGTGTTTCAAACCTACTTCATTGACCCTCCATACTTACTTTCGGATATGCTAGAAAACTCCAGAACTCAGCCTTCTTACTAAAAAGAATTTCAAATGCAAAACTTTGTTTTTTCTTTTGGCTGCACCTTTTAGGGTCGCCACAGAAAATCTGCCTCCATCTCACCGTATCACTTCCCTGATACCAGCTATCTACAGGGAGTGCAGAATTATTAGGCAAATGAGTATTTTGTCCACATCATCCTCTTCATGCATGTTGTCTTACTCCAAGCTGTATAGGCTCGAAAGCCT